ACGTTCAGGTGTGAACGAGGGCTTAGATGTGCTTGACCTCTCCCCAATAAGGCTGTATTTCTGGGCAGGTCCAGAATATGTGAAACAGGGTGCCTCCAGTACCTTCACATCTCCATTCAGAGACAGCGTTGAGTTGAGCGCATGGAGAAAGTCACGTGTGTGGTACCAATGGTACATTATTTTGTATTGATTTTCTCTGTATATCGAGCAAATCGAAGACTTTGTAGCCATCCTCCATATACTTTCTCATTGCTGAGGTGATATCGTGGTCCCCAGCGCACTTTCCCATTTTCGCATATAGGGTAGGGTAAGCGCGCCCTGCGCTGGGTCATCATTTAACATATTGTAGAGCGGGGGATGTTTTTAAGTATAAAAACTCGTCTTATATGTCGGCAAATACAGTACTCCCACAGACACCGACAATGGAGCTTATTTTACTCTCATTTACCCCAATGATGGTATTTTTTTTAACCTTTTTACTGACATCAATTATGGGACTTATTTTACTCCCACTGACTCCAGTGATGGGGCTTATTTTACTCCCACTGACTCCAGTGATGGGACTTATTTTACTCCCACTGACTCCAGTGATGGGGCTTATTTTACTCCCACTGACTCCAGTGATGGGACTTATTTTACTCCCACTGACTCCAATGATGGGACATATTTTACTCCCACTGACTCCAGTGATGGGACTTATTTTACTCCAACGATGGGACTTATTTTACTCCCACTGACTCCAGTGATGGGACTTATTTTACTCCCACTGACTTCAGTGATGGGACTTATTTTACTCCCACTGACTCCAGTGATGGGACTTATTTTACTCCCACTGACTCCAGTGATGGGGCTTATTTTACTCCAAAGATGGGACTTATTTTACTCCCACTGACTTCGATGATGGGGCTTATTTTACTCCTTATGCCACCAATGATGGGGTGCATTTTGCATTCACTAACATCAAGAATGGGACCTATTTTACTCCAACTGACCACAATGATGGAACTTATTTTACTCCCATTGACACCAATGAAGGATCTTAATTTACTCCCACTGACTCAAATGATGAGTCATATTTTTACTCCCATTGATACCAATGATCACATGATGGGGATTATCTCCTACTAACTCCAATGATGGGGCTCATTTACTCCCACTGACTCCAATGTTGGGTCATATTTTTACTCCTATTAATACCAATGATCACATGATGGGGATTATCTCCTACTAACTCCAATGGTGAGGCTTATTTTACTCCCATTGATGGGTCAAATTTTTACTCTCATTGATACCAGTGATGGGTCTTAATTTACTCCCACTGAATCCAATGGTGGGTCATATTTTGCTCCCATTGATACCAATGATGAGGCTTATTTTACTCTAACTGACTACAGTAATGGACCTATTTTAACTTACACTTACACCAATGATCAAGCTTATTTTACTCCCACTGACACCATCGATGCAGCGTATTTGTCTCCCACAGCCACTGACAATAGGTCTAAATTTTTGCACCCATTGACCAGCAATATGAGTGGCACTATGTTACGTACAGCTGACCCCTTGCACTCTGTAGGCCTTGCACTGCACTTCTGACCAAAACATTTATTATCTCAACAGCTGTTGATTGCTAAGTAGTCCCTGACTATTTGAAGTAGGCCCAAAGTGTTGGCGCTGTGTCTGGACGGCAGGAAATCACATGCTGTGGAGGAATTTTGTTTTTTTTAAGCTGAATCCTGTGTATTTTACAAAAACTTCCGTTACAGTCGGCCCTCCGTGCACAGCTATGTTTAAATGCTCATTTATTCTGGTGTTTGAGGAATAAAGTGTAATTCTTGTCTTATACCTCTCTCCGGTACTCCCTTTATCTGCGCTACCCATCCCCCAAAGCCTCTTCTCTAAAACAAAATCACAGGCTCTGTGTTGCTGAGCTCCTTGCCAGGCCATTGGGTTTGTCACACATGAGGACGCAGCGAGCGAGGAGTTTTTGTGGGTGAAGACTGATGAGGAACTTGTAAAAATGGCCTGGCCAGGAAGGGGGTCTAAACACCTGGTCTTGAAGTGGTTAAAGTTCCCCATCAGGTCCACCTCCCTTGTGATTGACAGCAGTGTGGGTAGATTCCATATCCACCAGCTCACCCGCAACCATGGAAACGCATGACGCTGTGTGGCCTGGCCGCCTGCATCCTAGCAACGGCGCTAGAACACTGGCTGGCAAATAAAAGAGGTGGAGAGTGGAACAGAAAAGGTGGCAGCAATTCTTAGCTAAGCTGTCTTCAAACAAAGTCACTGGACACCTCTCTGGAGTGCCGAATGCCTGCGTCCCCTGTCAACAATCAATTGTTTCGCCCGCCGACCCGTAGGCTACTACTGTCTTGCAGCGATGTAGGAGTCGGCGGAAGCAACCAATGACTATGGCAGGGGACACAAGGATTTGGCACTCTTGGAAGCCTTTACCGGAAGCTGTTCCTCTGGTAAAGAGAACCTGCCACGTTGCCTACAATGGGCAAAGTATAGAGATAAGAAAAGACTAAAATATTTGGTTTTCAGAAGCAGGAACAATCTTTCCGCTGACATTTATTTTTTTCTCTGACTCTACAAACAAGCTTGTTTAGCTTGCTGGTGTTACTATGTGTCCTCAGTTGTTTGCACAGATGGTGATTCCACTATCCAGTTGAGTGTATCACCTCCTCCCGAGCCCGTCACTTCCTGGATGCGGAACGTCTGTTCAGCGTGTTTTGCTTCCGTAGGAGCGGGATAGATGCGGACCGCTTCCTGTATGCTGACCCCACGTGTTGTGTGCTGGTGACAGTACACAGGCAGGAGATCAGAATATCATGGGGAAAAGGAGCCGGGGTTTGGGAGCGGATAGCTCCGATTCGGAGCCCAAGAAAGCCAAATCTCCGGAGGTGGAATTTACAGGGACCCTCTTTAAATCTTTACTGAGAGATCCCCAGACAGCACTGAAAGGTGAGGGGCCCAGAGCTGTGGCTATGGCCAGACTGCACTGACAAGTCAGGGACCCAGGGCTGTGGCCAGACTGCACTGACAAGTCAGGGACCCAGGGCTGTGGCCAGACTGCACTGACAGGTCAGGGACCCAGGTCTGTGGCCACACTGCACTGACAGGTGAGGGACCCCTTGGTATAGGTAGACTGCACTAACAGGTCATGGGCACAGGAGATGGCTAGGCTGCACTGACAGGTCAGGGGGTGGCTAGACTGTACTGACAGGTCAGGGGCCCAGGGCTATAGGGGAACTGCAGTGGGAGGGGAGGTACCCCGGGGTATAGGTGGACTACGCTGACAGGTGAGGGACCCTGAAGTAAAGCCAAGCTGCACTGATAGATGAGGAGCCCCAGGCTGTGATCAAACTGCAGTGACAGGTGAGGGGGACCAGTGGATGGCAAGACTACACTGACAGGTGAGGGGGACCAGTGGATGGCAAGACTACACTGACAGGTGAGGGGGACCAGTGGATGGCAAGACTACACTGACAGGTGAGGGGGACCAGTGGATGGCAAGACTACACTGACAGGTGAGGGGGACCAGTGGATGGCAAGACTACACTGACAGGTGAGGGGGACCAGTGGATGGCAAGACTACACTGACAGGTGAGGGGGACCAGTGGATGGCAAGACTACACTGACAGGTGAGGGGGACCAGTGGATGGCAAGACTACACTGACAGGTGAGGGGGACCAGTGGATGGCAAGACTACACTGACAGGTGAGGGGGACCAGTGGATGGCAAGACTACACTGACAGGTGAGGGG